TGGGAAAAATTGAATAAATTCAAGTGTGACTGTATTGAACCCAACTCTCCTCGTTAAATATCATGGGGTTTATATGTGTTGGGAAGTGGGAGTGGTTTTCATTAAACAATTAAGTGGAAGCATTTGCATTGACCAGCAATAGCTAAGATAGTTGCATAGACACTGTAACAATGGAAGATTGGTATATGGATAAAGATACTTGTCTGAACAAAGGGTAATTAAGATAGATAATTTGAGTAATTGCTACTTTTTTTTTTTAAAAGAATATTTAACAGGCATAGATAAGTGTTCAAAATGATAATTTAGGAGAAGAGAAAGGAAGAGAAGGAAAAAAAACTGGTTAATGAAGAAATAAAACTCATAATATATTTTGAGTTATAATCGAAATTGCTACCAATAAGGTACTAAATGGAATTTTAGCTAAATAGCTAACAGCATATAAGGAGAAAGTGATATTCTGTCATATATCAAAATTATGCATTATAAGCAACATTTTGCAAATAATCGAATAAAATGTTTGCTTTGTTTCGAAAGGAAAATTCTGAAATTATACTCTTTCACAATTTCATCCATTTCAGAAGTTTTTGAAAAGCTTTTTAAAGTTTAGTTATTTAATGTCGTTCAATTCAAAAGACCTCGGAAGGATCTATGAAAATTATCCATCACAAGACATTCAGTAGCAGAACTGACTTTTATAATATCATCATAGGTCTTTAGATGTAGACTCGAACTTTCGACACAATTCTCACCAACTGCGCCTACAGGTACTTCGTCACACATTCAAATCATTCATGCTACATATCTGATTGACATGTTTGGAGCAATACTTTGAATTTCCAAGTTCCTTATAATCCTAACTCATCATTTCATGCTTATATTGGAACAGTGTAAATGGATTCAAATTAAGGACTGTTAGAATGTGAATACAGAATTCCTAACACTTGGCATTTTCTCTTAAGCTGTTTGAGAGTTTTGTAAAATTTTATCTTCAAAGCATCGCCCAATGAATAACTCGTTCAAGGATGGAAATGATACTATCAATTTTGAAAAGATTTTTTCGAAACTGACTGTTAGCAAAATATAAATATGGAGTATAATAAATAAGAAAAAGAAAGACAGCTAGCTATGATGATTATAATGAATGAAAGAATTAGGGAATACTTGTTTAAATCTTTAAATCAAGTCTTAATTCAAAACAAAATATCGAATTCAATAATGTTTTAATTTCTTTTCCTCTTAATCACTCCTTTAACTAATTTTTGAATTTCTTTCTCTCTTATTAAAAAAAAAGCGAAAATCTCGTTATCCTGAAAAAAAAAGCGAAAATCCCGTTATCCTGACAACCACAAAGTAATAAAATTTGAATCATGAATCAACAAGAACATCAACAATAACATTTTTCACCTGATCAACACTCAGAAATGATAACAATATCCATTGAAATTCCATTAATTCCATCAAAATTTTATTGAATTTCAAACCAATTTAAAGCAATACCATTCATGTCATATTAACTTTTTCGTTATTTTCTGTAATAAATAGAAATTCATAGACTGCTAAAAAAGTTAACAATTCTCTTCAAGAATATATATAAAAGCTTTTTAACAATAGCATTATAGGCAGAAATTCCAGTTCCTTTAAAAGATGTTCAGAAAAAGGTTCCTCCTAGAAATTTGCTCCAAGGAGTTCTTAGTTTGTTGGAATTTTAAACTTTCAAGAAACTATGGAAGCGATCATCTTTGCTAAAAATCAAATTCAAAAGGAACTATGAAATCAATATGTCTCGGAAAGACATTGACAAAAGTGCGTAAAGTAAAACTAATTGGAAAACAGATCGTTCGATTATCCGATGCAATATTATTACTGAAAGTAAGAGCTGCATTAAAAAAAAATACCATGTTTTTTTATTGTTCTCTTTGAAAACCATTCAACAATGACGATAAAGCGATGAAAAGAAGACATATAAAACCTTTTTTTTCTTTATTAAAGCAAATTTACGAATTATCGATTTTACAGATTATCTACTTCATTTAAGCTGTCACTAAATTCCCACGTAGAAGGGCGAAAAAGCGAAAGTAGTTCAAATATACTTTCAAAATTCAAATTAAATTTCAAAAAACCTAAAGTATGATCGAACAAATGGCAAATATTTAATTTTTTAGAAAAAAATAATGACTAAAGCGGTAGGAATGTATAGAACAGATATACAAGATCAACAGTTTACGTCCTTATACATGGTTATGTATAACGGTGCAGGCATGATATAGCTCGAGCAGTTGATAAGCGAACATCAATATCGTGATCTTTTAATAATAGCATCAATCCTGAAAAGTTACAGATATAATAAACCTAAATAATTATCCAAACAACTTTGTAATTTAAAATCATTTTCTCACAACGCATTAACATTACATATAATTAAATCGAATAAGCTTGTACGGAAATTCGAACAAAATCTGCTCATTGATTTAAAAAATTATAGAGAATTCATATCTCTCTTCAATTTAGCAAGTAATGGAATATTTTCTGCTGCTTTCCTGGGATGAATGCAATAGTGTAATAATACTATCATTACATTGAGCATACTAAAACCCAAAATGATAAGAAATCTCAACTATTCAATCTCTCTTCAATTTAGCAGTAAAACCATCAATTGGAAAAGCAAAAATCATCTTTCATTTAAACTGATCATTAGAAATAGTATCTTTGATTATATAAAATTTTATACAAAAATAATCATTCTTATTTCCAAAATACACGAATAAAAATTACCTGCAAATATTAATTCTTTCGAAACAGTACTCCGTAATTCTGGTGTTAATTCACCCAATAAATAACCCGTCATGTGAGCTGCGTTGGAACGGATACGAGACGATGTACTTTTAAAATAATTATTACAACTCAATGCATAATAGTTGATGCGATCAGGAAATGAAAAAGCCTAAAATTGGATATTTAATAATATTTGCCAATATACGAAAAATTTAATGTATAAAAAGGATTATACTTCATCAAATATAAGTTTTTCATTCAATAAAAATTCAAAAAGATGAAATATAATATGTGTCTACGTTGATATGTTCATATTTATGCTTAAAACTCATATTTAGCTTAAGTTTTATGCAGTACTTACTTTACTTTAGCCACCGTAGCAATTAAGATTTAGATGTAAAAGATATAAGCTACATGTCATATAGAGAAGATCAAAATAATAAATTGAATAGAAAAGGACAAAAAAGTAAAAACTTTATGAAAAATTATCTCCAAATACACAAGTATTTTTTATAAATATGTACGGCATCATATGTGAAGTGTAGATCATCCGAATCTAATTAAAATTACTCCCCTAGTTGCTTGAGTTCGAGAACGCAGCTAATTAGAAATAATAATAGAGAAAGCGAACATAATGTAATTTTTACTTCAATGTATAGATATGAGTTTGGATAATCTAAATATAAATAGTAACATGAATAACTTACTAATATTACACTGAATTCTTTTAAAAATTGACGATAATTATGGCACTGTTCATCGATTTTCAAGTCGCGTTCAATCAACAGTGTCAAACGATCGGAATTTAACAACGAACTTACCGATATGAGGCATCGTGCACACATCTGAAAAAGAGATTTTTCAAGAAAAATTTTAATTTAAATATTTTCACAATGACACAGAAATAAATGTTTGAGCATCATTCAAAATATCAATCTTAGTATATTACAGCAATGCAGTTCATAATAAACCATCAGAAGTTGCAAAATATATTGAAAGGATGCTAATAAGAGTTAATTAGTTAAGATTAAGGATTCAAAATGCTAACAGCTTATCAATCAAATAAGATTAAAGCATGCACTTTAATCAACTGTCATCAGTCTTTTTTTGAAAATCGCACGACTCTAAAACCGATATTTTGTAATCGATATTATAAATTCTCTGATGACAATAATGAAAATGCAAATAAGACCAAGAGGCGTTCCATATTTATATCATGCTCAATTTCAACATCACAGCAAAATATGTTTTCTTGAAATTCCATAAACTTATCACTAAATCTTAAAAAATTAAAAAAGTTTCAGAAAAAAGTTGAGACTGTTACCTGCTTTACTTGATCCTCTTCATCATTTAAATGTAAAACAATTGAAACAATATTTATAAGTAATTGTTCGCGATATGCATCATAACTACCCACCCGTTGACCTAATTCACCGAATAAACTGAATGATACAGCACGCAATGCACTACTTTCCTAAAATTAGTGCAAGACTGATCGTATGGACAAAATGACATGATATAATTAACTGTAAAATAGCCATTTTGTTCAACTAATTCGAATCATTAATAAAGCCTAAGTTCCCAAACACACCTGGCATAATTATGTGAAATTAAGCGTCTTCAAAAAATGAATTGAAATTTGCATACTTTTTCAAAACACGGTCGTAATTTCAACAATACATTCGACAATATATTCTCCAGATGTGTGTTCGGTACACATGTAGAAAGTTTATTCAGTGCGTTAACTGCTTCCATTGCAATCTGAAACAATATACTTTGACAACAATTTTACTGCCTTTTTATAATTGGTGATATGTATTCAATTCTTAATGGAAAACGCTTTACCATTCATAAATGGTTTGAAAACCGACAAAAGTAACAATGCAATTATGCAATTAAACAGAAAGAGCAAGGAATCAGACAGGTAAATTGAAAAAAAAGATCAATTTTTAACTTGCAGAAAAACTAAAAAGATACCTCATCTCGACGATCACCACTGTCATCTAACCCAGCCATCGCCGCTTGTATGGCATCTGATGAATATTTGTTTAAAATTGAATCACTACAGCAAGCCAAATCACCGAGTCCACGTACAGCTAACTTAAAAAAAATTAATGATATTCGTACAAAAAAAAACAATTATTACCATTCATTATTCTTACGAAAATTTCTATAACTTACTTTTCGAATCTTCAAATTACGATCGTCCAATGCTTTCATTAAATTCATAATTAGTACCTCGAGAAGCTTATCATCAACTTTTCCATCTTCATTCGGACATCTAAAAAAAATAAATTAAACTCAGTGAAGCATTTTAAACTGACAGATATTATAGGCTTAACAGAAAGCAACAGTACTAGCAAGTGAAAAATAACCACACAAATGAGTACAAAAAGATTATACAAAATTAATATATACCGTTTCGTTAAGGCAGATAAAACTGCAGCAGCAGCAATGCGATATGCATCACTGGGAGATTGCATACGAGGTATCATCAATGTTACAAGTGGTCGTATCCATTCAGGACGATGTTCACTTAGTGAGCGAGTAAGAACTGCTATCTATAAAAACAATAAGCAATAATAATGTAACTACGCATAAAAATAGTAATATTAAATACTGCATAAAAATTAGTAATAATATATAAATGATTAATGGATGAAAAAAAAAATTTAGACTATACGATTAGCTTGATGGAAAAATAATAACATGAATAAGAGAAGGATGGGGAGGTAGACGGTATATATAAGAAGAAAATACTAGTAATTCTTGATGGAGCCTAAAAATTATGAAATCAATTTTGAAAACTAACGCCATTCGTAAAATGCAATGTATCGACACAATCACTCCATGCACGTTCTGAATTCATCTTTTCAACGATAGCATCATCGAGTGTTCGCAGAAACAAACTTCGTAAAGCCTGTGATGCTAATGCGGCTGGTGTAGATGATAACCGCCGCAATTCTGGAGTGATGATCAACGATTTCGCGCCTGAATTTGCATAATAAAATTCAGAAAATGTTTTCCGAAAATAAGAAATAATACACAAGGAATAGACGATATTTAGTTGCTAATGAAGTAAAAAAGGAATAAGATATGTGTTATTCCTTTTTCAGTTTCAAAAATCTTACTATCTTTTTCTTTACTATCTTTTATATCTTACTATCTTCTTTTTAGTTCAAAAATCTTACTATCTTTTTCCTTCATGGAATAACATTGTTGACATTGTAAAAAAAAAGGAATAACATTGTAACTTTTGGTATATGCTAAAAATAACAGGAATAGTTCAAAAATCTTACTATCTTTTTCCTTCATCAAAACTGGGTACTGAGTATCAATGACAGCTGCAAGAAATTGCAACAGAGCTGCTAAAATATTTGGAATTCGCTTGCATAGTTCTACTTCTGGTTCACCAGCCTGTAATATATAAGTGACAACTTATTTACTTGCTACTACTTTTTCGTTTTTCCCGAAGAAAAGAACTAATGAGAAAAAAACAATTAGAATTTGATTATGGACTAACATGAGTAACTTTTATTTATTTAGTGGTAATAGCTGTGGAAGTTTTATTGCAGTTTGTGGGAAAATATATTATCGTACAATGAAATATGGAGTAAAATATATCAACAGAACAACATGTTTTATTTCATCAGATGACAGCCTAAACAAGATAAGATTTTGGAAAGCAAAACAAAACGATAACATTACCTTAATAATTTCTGTAATAGCTGCCGCTAATGTACAAACTTCAGGTTTCACAATTTTCACCGAGGATCCAGCACCAGTATCCAGAACTTCAAATGGTACTTCGGATGTTCCTGATGAACCACATCCAGTTGTTATCAATTCCAACAAATAATCAGCAATTAATGGGAACAAAGAATGATCATGCGACATTGTATGCCATGCATCGATCATTGAGCTAAATGATCAAAATAAATGGATAAAATTTTTCTCATAAAAAAAATCAGAAATGTATCGATAGATTATGGAAAAAAAATTCAACTTTCTTCAAACTTTAATCCATTCAATTTCAATGAATATTTACAAGTTATTGATTCAGTGAATCTTAATATATACACACATCATAAATAGAGCTATTTCAAAGCTTTTTATCCTAAAGCTAGAATGATTTCACTGTCTACCTGTCGTTTCTGACTTCATATAAACAGATAATCCTTATAGAGCCCTACTTCGAGACTCTAAGTTTTTTAATACGTACACAGAATAGGGTAATGGTCTAGCCAACATAACGTCGATACATGCATATAATTGATGATGTGCAAACGCTATTAAAGCTGCCAATAAATCGGTATATGTTTGAACGCATGCATGTATATCCGGTAATTTGTTTAATAATGTTGTGACCAGTGTATCAGCCTACAAAATAAGACCATCCATTCGTTTGGCTTTAAATAATTTGAATTTCAGTTTAGTTTCAAAATCATTGAAAATCAACCTTAACGTCCCTAAAAGGAATGAACAAATAAATTACCTCAATAGAAAGCGTATCGCCACGATGTGTTAATATACTGGTAAGTAATTGAGCAGCTGCGGAACTAACTTGACTCTGGCGATCATTTATCATGCCAAACAAACCCGATATGTATGTTTGTATTTGGGATTGAGGTAAACGACTGTCTGTAATCTGTAACGAGAAAATAGGAGATTAAAAGGATAAAAGTAGAAAACTGGTGGAAGCTAGCATGACAAAAATCAGAAATTAGGTAGGATTATGCCAGAAGTAATTGCATAATCGATCTGATAGAGCTTGAAAATAAAAACACACTTCATAATTTGATATATCTGACATTTTTATACTCGTAAAATGAAGAAAGAATTTAACAGGGAAATCCATACTCACATCAGCCATAACTTTGATAGCTTTCCGTGAAAGTATTCCTTCCAATTTGCCCTCATCACCAAGATACTCAATGATGAATACTGTTGGATCAAATAGAGTGTTATCGATGGTGTCTCGAGCAAGACCTGAAATATAGCTACCATATTTTCAAAAATTGAAAAGTACCTTAGAATTAATAGACAAGTTACATGGAGATAATTAGCTGTTCTGAATCACTGAAATAACTTTAAGAAACCTTTATAGACATGAGCAAGTCGAAATGTCCAATAAACAGCGCGCAATGCAGCATGACGAACAGCACATAATGAATCAGCAATTCTTGGAACCAGGCGAGCCAACAATGATGACATTGGACCAAACTCACTTGCACGCTAAATAAAAAATCAAGTACATCAACAGAAAATCAAAAGTACATCAGAACAGATCCTAAATTTTAAGACTGCTTTACACCATTTGTTACCTTCTGGTATCTCACAAATCATGCATCACAGCATATCAAAAATGAAGTGGCACAGAATGCAAACCCCTCATCGTACAATCACTAATAATGATGCTAAATGATTCTAAAAAAATAATCTGAAAATTCATCAATTTCTTATGTCCTACCCTTCTATGAAATTCTCTTAATGGAAAAGCATAAAGTACTCACACCTAATGCAAAATCTCTAGCATGCTCGAAATAAACCGTAAGCACACGTAATGTAGTATCGATAGCCCGTAGGCGTTCATGACCAGCCGCAGAGGCATAATATGGTTGAAAAATCTGCAAAAATACAAATTTATTCAAGTCTATAAACAGTTAAAATATCACTTGAAATGAAATTTCATATTTTTTAGAAAATTTCATATTTTTTAAAAAGAAAATGTCATATTTTTTTAGTTTTCCTTAATATTTTTGTTTATTTTAATTAGGAAGGAAGAAAAATCTTTAAGCTAGATTTCAAAAGCACTAATATTTCTCTTATCATTTATTTACTTATTTCACATTCAAAATAAGAGTTTATCAGTGCAACGATTCTCCTTCGATAAAGAACCATACGATCTATTGGTCTTAGTATAATATCGACATGATTCTTTACAGCATATCTCTCTCTCCGGACAATTCATTTTCTGTCTGGGACTTTGAAGTTACTCGCAGAAAGTTCGTTTTATTGGTCAAAAACTTAGTTTACAACGATTGCAACAATAATTTGTAGTTTGTGTTAATTCTTATACTATCAAAATCTAGACTTAAATTGTTGACTATGAAACCAATATCAAACATACTTTTAACAAATGTGTAACGGTTCCAACGACCGCCTTTTTCTTGATTATTTGCTCGATTGCCGCATGATATTGATTTACTGTAGCCTCCATCATCGTTGAACTTTCATCATCGTCAATCTATAAGTTAACTTATTCCGTGCAAATCTTTTTTGTGCCTAAAAAGTCAAGAGACATCTACAAAAAATTTACACCTAAATACTACACCACTACATAGGATATTGCTTAATACGTTTCAAAATTATAAAAATTTCCGAAATAAAGACAATTGCAGAAATCATATGAGGCTCCCGTCATTTTTAACATTTTCTGTTAATGCTGCATTTTTAAATTTAGTAATCAATTAAGAAAGCCTTATTCCTATGATTTGTTAATATATTAAAATTTATTCATAATAGCATAAAAGCATATAAGCACAAAATTATAGGCCAAAAATAAAATTAACAGCAAAGTACAGTTGTATTTTTAAAAAATAAGCAGCATTTTTGGTATAATAGATGTTCAACTTTTGCAAAAAAAATTCTTATAAATGAACTTGTAGTGAATATCAAAAAAAAGCTAACAGTTTTTAAGCCACTTCGTTCACGGCATAAAGGAAACGTGTGATTTGTTAGGACATAACCAATCTGCCATATATCATCATCAGATATAATTGGTTCCAATGCACTGAAATTATAACATTTAAAAAAATACCAAGCTTCACATCTTATAAAAAAATCTTTTATAATTTTCAGCAACTATTATTTTGATTTTTATTTCTGACAACAATACAATTATTCCCATCACAATTTAATGAAATGCAATAACAACAGAGAAATCTCCCCTGAATACAATAACTATATTAATATAAAATTTCAAAATCAAAATTATTTAGTTACTTTGAACTGTTAAGGAAAATAAGATTGCAACTTACACCAAGGCAGCAACTGCTTTACTAGCAAGTAGCCTTATGGAATTTGATAGTGTTTCCGGTGATTCGAATTCAATATAATCCTGAAACCAAATAATTATGATGAGCAGGAAATTGTGATTCCGAAAAAGCAAAGAAACAACTCTGTAATTATTTTGCTTTTGTTTTTTTGGCGAAACCCAAAACAATTCCGCAGAAAAACTTAATTGAACTATCGCATGATTGATATCTGTAGAAAAAATATTTTCTGCATAATTTGTTTATATAAATATATGGGTAATTATGATGAGAAATAAAAAAGAAAACTAGAAGGAAATTACTAACTTTAATATGATTCAAAAATTCGGTACGACATCCCAAATGATATTCCGTTATAAGATGCGCCGGACTCACTGATATCGCAATCAAATATATTGTTTCCAACAACGCTTCTCGAACAACTACTTCCTGCTAAAGTTATTTGGTATGCATTCTAGCTTATTCATTTTCATAAAAATCATACTCATCCTATATAATCACTTGGCCGACATCAACACCATGTGATAAAATCACGATTACTTGTATTTCACACAGCAGTAAAATGTTACTTTTCTGACTGTTAAACCATTTAAGGACTAGATTACTGAAAAAAAAAGATTACTGAAATTTTAAGAATTAAGCCTAAAATTTTAAGAATTAAGCATATTTTTTTGCAAAAAAAAACTGCTAACTTAAATCCAAAAAAGCAATCTCTGAGGAAATTATTTATAAATAAACAAACTGAACTCCAACCTTTGGATTTTCCAAATATCGTCGTAAAAATATAAGTACAGTTTGTTCCAGTCTTTGTGTAACTACATCCGTTGGACAGTGATAAACTACGTGACCTGAGAAATTTTATATATTTTCGCGACAAAACCGTATTATAACATAAGTTATATAATTTTTTAATTTTCCAGATAGAATATTTCAAAATAAGATCATACCGTAGCTAAGCATGATGGTTGCACGTAGATTAATCATTTCTTGATCACTGTATTGTTTGTATGGCATGGCATCCTAAATTTATACAAGATTTTCAAAATTCACTATTCCAAATAACGAGAGAGGAGTTAAAAATACAAAAAAATTAGTAATATAAATAAAAGAAATGTATGACCAGAATAGAACAAACCGTAGTTCCTAAAAAATTTTCAAGAAAATGTGAATTTCAACTAAACACTTTTATTACTAATAAATTTTTATAAAGCATCATTTTATCAATAAATTTTTGTCAAGAAGAATTTATTACCTTAATAAATCCAAATAATCCGGAACTTTTCTTAAAATTTTCCCATTTGGCAATATTTTCCAGTTCCGTAAGCACCAAATCTGTATGAGTAGTAGCGCAATAACCAATTGCTTGAGCACAACCTGTGCGTTCAGCTTGTTGCGCATGCAGTGTTGAACGGAACAGCAAAATAAGATGGTCAACAACAAAACTCGTGTTTGTTGATAATGCTAAGGCACCACCCAGACATCGCATAAGAAATGCCTAAGAATGAACAATTAGTTTGAAAATTGGCCAAAAAAATTCAAACAACATTCTTTACATAGTTATATCAACACTCTAACTATAAGTTCCGAAAAGTGCTATCAGAATAAACCATAAATTATTAAACTTAAATTAAATTAAGCCAATATAACACATTGCTCGAATAATCGACACAGAGTAAATAATATTCATGAAGGAAGAGACCACTCAATGGACAGATGTGCAAAACAGAGATGTAAAAACGGAAACAGTAACTTTTTCTTCAGGTGCATCACCATATAAATTGAACTGTTTCCCCATAGCAGCTGCGAGCGCACATCGCCACTCACCATCGTTCACATTTCTCACACAGAAATCTAACAAATCGAGAATATGTGCATGCCATCGTGCAATACGTGTAAGACGAAGCTCATAAACCGCACTTCTACCTCCTTCCATTGTACTGTTAACTGTACCGGGTGGTGATAAACCTAAAATTAACAAAATGAAATTAAAAATCAAACAAGGAATACAAATCTGAATTTGAAATTTTACATTTACAAATTTTTCAGTTTCGTTAAAATGTTTCTCAAGTTTCTTCTCCCATAATTGAAAAAAATTTATTAAGTTATTCTGAACTGATCAGTTCTATTAACTCAAAAAGCAAAACGAGACTGAAATAAGTAAGGAACCTACTTTTCAATACAACAAGCAATTCATCGCAACGTCTCGGTAGAATATCACGCAGTGAATTATCAAACCACGGCGCGAGAACACTTAGCAATCGTAAAGCTTCTGTAGCTCGTTTTGAAAGTGCCAAACTAAGCGGTGCATTATTGGTACATGTTATAAGTCGTGAAAATACTTGAAGATTCCCGGCAATGTGCGCTGCAAAAAATATTAGCTATTACCATGATACTAGCACCATAGAACACAAAAAACCCTCTCATAAACAAATTCTCCATTTGCAATACATTTCTCCTAACTTTTAGTAATTAATCTTTTTTATCACAAACGCAATATATTGTTTATCACTTACGGCTATCAAAACCCGTCTCAAAATCCGGTTTTTTCCCTGCTTCGAGCGTTCGTTCGATAAGAATCCTAATACATTTAAAGATATCCATCACTGCTATGTTATATTCTTGGGAACAAATGAATTCGAACAAATAAGGCCAAAGTAACTATAATAAAATACATTAAGTCGTTTTTAGCAACAATTTTTGATATTAAGAGTTAAATTATAGAAAACTTATACGAAAAAGATAAAATGCTTTTTTTAGTGGACGAGACTTTTAATACTAACAAAAACAACCTATTACACTAAATCCCTACTGTAACCCAACACATCTTTATCAGTTTAAAAATGCTGTAAGTATCATTGAGAATGCAAAACACCTCATCAGGCTATTAATGTTGAAGTTTCTCGATTATACTTTAATTTAATCCAATCAACTAACACTATGAGCAGTTGAAGACGTTTTTGCTATCGTTTGCAATGCTTGTCCACACTGAGCTCGCAAATGTGTTGCACTATCTGCTGTTTGCATTTCTGATGAGAAGAATGCTTTCTTAGCCTTCAAATTATTAATCCATTGAGTAAAAAACTTTCCGAAATTTCTTGAAGTCTATAAGTTTAGAGCAAAAAACTTTTCGAAATTTCTTGAAATCTATAAGTTAAATGAGATATTCATTACATATATAATACCAGGGAGATTTTAACATACGAACCGTTCACTTTTCCCTCCATTATTGTCTTTTTTCTCTAATATTTTACAGATAATTCGAGCTTGAAGCCTTCAACTATATCCTTTTCAATTTTTTCTCCATCTCTTATTATCCCAATCAAATTGAACAAAATTTAAAACAATATTAACACTGTAGCTTATCTACATTACTTTTTCCACACACAGCTCAACTTTAATATGTATAAAGAACAGTAAAAACTTTAAGAAATTGCATAGCAGCTAAGACTCCTAGTATTGAGAGCAAAATAAAGAATCCTCCAATTATGTGTCTAATTAATTCTAATTGATAATAATCGACAGGTAATATGCAAGACAATATAACTCTCCTTCACAATATTTGAAAACTAAAAAGATGTTAATTCTTTTTGTCCTTTCTAAACCTCAAAAAATCGCTTAAGAAATTGTTTTTGTCAGTGATAAAAAGACTAAAGTTAAAGATAATCCTTTGCTCTTTTCATATACGTAGATTTTAATACCAAAAAAATGAAAGATGAAGGTTTACCGTTTCATCATCTTGAACGATAAGATTCTTTACCAAGAATATAATCACATTATTACCACCTTCCACATCAATATATTCATGATCAGCTAATGCTACGCACAACTGACACATTGCCTTTTTAACCCGAATACTTAGCAATCCTTCACTTCCAGCAAGTAATATTGGCTTTAAACCAAGAATTACCAATGAACGTTTGTCATCCACATATGGCCCTAAATTTACTTCAATTTCACTTAATGAAATGCAAACGCCGTCTTAATTAGGTATTAGAAGCTACATATAAAACAAACAATTCTCCAGTCTTCGGTACATTTATTATGAACATAATATCCAAAAAAAAAATCATTGTACATTCTCAAAGTAATAATTTTTCCATGTAATTATTCTATTTATAGGACCAATAATGCTAGTTAATCATAAATTATGTAGTTTCATAGCTTTTTAAATTCTTAATTTTCTGAATATCTGATCATACAAGTGAGATTTATTTAGCAGTAATTTATATACATCAGTCACAAGTGATTTTACTTTTTTGTAATTTATCATTTTTTGTTACCATTACAGTGTAGGAGATGAGTAAAATTGTTGAAGAAATTTGTTAAACGGTTTTTTTCTTAAATGGTCATTGAAAATTAAAAAACGATCATTAAAAAAATGTCATTTTATTACATGATCATTGAAACTATCAATAGGTTGAGACCGAAAATAACATTGATAATTAAGTGAAATTACCGGCTGAATTAAGAAGATGCCTAAGAACATTGATAGCACCCAGTTTTGAACCATCCTGCACGCTTTGCATTTTGTGCAACAAGTAATATACTATTTTATCAGCAAAACGCGTTGCTGAAACATATAAAACACTTGCGTATGAAAATCAACAATACACATACTTAGGGCAAGCAAAAGATGTGCATGCAATTTAATTTTTTTTTTTGAAATACGGAACAAAATAATAATTGCATTTTAGGTGGAAATTTTTGTTTCTTCAATAATAATTTGTTTTTTTTTTCGATTTATACGTATAAATGAGGGTTTAATGGCTTGAAAATTCGGAAAAAAGCGTAAAATCTTTTCAAAATTCATTTCCTAATCTTTTGATAACTGTTAGAAGTGAAAAACCAAACCAATGCAAAAGAAATAAAATGCAAAAAAAAAATGAATGTGAAAGATTCAAACTCCTCGTAGGGATGGCTACTTACAGAATAATAATGCAAGAAGCTGTAATAGAGTGCACTCATTCATATAACGGGGATGCGATTCTAGAAATGAACTATCAAAACAGAATTACTACATATGCTACATAGCACAATAACAAATCAGAAAAACAAAAAATAATAACGAAAGAATTTCCTTTAATCTTGAGGAATTTAAATCCTAATCAAATATATTTAAATAAAGAAATGCTTGATGAATGTGATGCATTTCCTAGTAAATCATTAATAATACAACTATTGGCTATTCAATTTTCACAGTTAGCCTCTGGCGAAATCACCTGATCCTTCCTCTATGCGTATCTTAAAAAAGCTATTCGAATATACTACAAAATTCATTATCAAAAGTCAACTTGATTCTAATTCACATTAAAATTTTAAATCAAGAGTTACAAAGCAATTAAACATTTAAAAATTCAATATACTTTGATATAAAAAACGGAAATTCATTAAAATTTTTTCTTCAGATATTGCAAAATAACAAGCAGTTTGGTGAATTTGAAAAATTTGGTGAATGAATAATGCATAATACGGCTATATACCACATAAATTCAAAAAAAAGCTTGCAGCATACAAATACTTATGATAAGTGCTGAATGACAGATTATCAAAACCAAAAAAGCAAAAAATTAGTTAAATTTAAATAAATTAATTAACTTCCGCAAAACTTGTTAGTAATAGCTAAACGTAATTTCTAACCAGCAACATGAAAGCACCGAAATGCTTCGTTTTGATTACGCATTGAAGTGTTTGAAGCGACAGTTTGTTCAGCAACGGAATATACCAACGGAAATAACGTGTTCAATATATCTTCCAAATATGCATCTAATGGACAGCTTTCATCTGCACATGCCGATTCCAGAAAACGGCACAAACCCTGTAGCATACAGAAGTTGGAATGTCGTGGATGTTAAGGAAACATAAGCGAAAAGTGCGACATGGAGAATTTAAGAAACCAAATGAGAACTTCATATATTTGAAAGAAATAAATAATAGCTTAATATAAATGTTTCTATTTATTCGACATATATTTCTAAAAATAAGGAGCTGGAAATGGAAGGATGCTATAAAATCAAGCAAGTGTCTTTACCAAAACATAAGGTTGAGGAAGATGTGATGTTTCGCATTGTGAATTGCAGATAATTTATTATATTATCTTGATCAACACCCAATTTGTCAAACAAAATACAAATAAAAAATATAAGATACCTGTGTTACAAGGTGCTGGTTAGTACTAATCTTTCGATGCAAGTTTAAAAACATTGTTACCAGCCTTCTCATTTCATCTATTAAACGTTTTGGAGAAATCATCAGGCATAATTCTCCAATGCAATTAGCAGCCTCGGCCCGGACCTAAGTTTGAATCTGTTTTCGTAATGCATCACAAACGAACTCATTATAGAAAAGAACATTTATAATTAGCAAGTTAGCTATTTAATAATCAAACACATGCGGCCATATAATTACAAAGAATGACGACAAAAATCAAACCGTCTTTAACAAATTTTTTTCAGTTTTCAATGAAAAAATTTATCCTTGGAAAGTGAGAAATTGGAATTACTTTAACATCTTTAGCACTTAACCAACTGAATACTGGATCATATGCCAACTCCATTTGATCAACATAATTCTTCTGTACAATTTTTGGTTCACGACACGTCTCACTACTAGATTTCTTGAAAATAAAATAAATTAACACGCTAAACCAAATTAAACTTGATACATAACATTTATATTCCCTTTTGATGTAATCCGATAAAATCGATAAACGTCTTGTTGTTTTAAAATATAAAAATATCATAGATCGTTTCACCACTACGCCTGTAAAACGTTACCTGTTCATCATCACCACTACAGCTATCGTTATATTCGGTTTTTGTGACATTTGAAGCAGAAACATATTCACGAACGGATTCACAAAATGATCGTAAGGCATGTGCCCAAGCATATCGATAGACATCCGTCTTGATATGAGGTAAAACCGAAATCACACGTGACAGAATATCCGTCAGAAATGGCACGAATCCGATTGCTATAAAAATTTTTCGAATTCATTATTAATATGTGATTTTTAAATGTTAACATAAATCTTTTGAAAATAATGGATGAAAATAAAAAAATTCAAAGATTTTGATGGGTTAATATGAAGAAATGAAAACAGAAAATAAACGATTAAATGTTTCATATTTCGTATTGCGCAATTCACCATTATGTTCAGCAACATTTGCCAGTGTTAAAACGATGTATCGATGAGGCGAAGAAGTTTGGCCTGGTGGGAATTTCTGGAGCAATGCTTCCATTACATGCCCAACAAATCGGCTTCTCTTTGCTAGAGTAACCAAAACATTGCAAGCAGCTTGTGGCCAATCATCATTTTCCTATACTTGAAATTTGGAAATTTAATTGAAATTTGGCAGACAATATAAAGTATCAAAAATGGAACTTGATGACTTACAAAATACAAGACAAGTTAACTTTAGGAGCTCAAAATCAAAACTTATAACAATCTTCAAGGTGTTATGACACATATCAAGGAAATATAAACATTTATATAATCATAACTAAGAATCGCCTTCAGAAGCAAGCTCATCATTGTAGAAACCATATAATTGAAACAATAACATATTAATTATATTTAATTGTCTGCAATAAGAAACAGACTGCTTTAATAGCGTTCGCCACTACACCAATACAATTTTTGACTTATTGGGTGAGAAAATCAAAAATTAAAATCGTGATTTTGATGCTCAAATGCTGAAAAGAACTTAAATTTTGATAATGGCAATAATTTTCTAAGTAATTAACAATTGCTTCTTAAAAATAATTCCGAGACATACCTTTGAAAGAGCCATTTCCTGTGTGGCGAGATTGATGATCAATAATGCCTGTTGTTCATCTAAATCCTGTGGCGTTTGATTGTGCTCAAGAACCCGATTTACTGTAGATAATACAAAAGCTCGATTTTGTCCTGTGAGCTGAAGACTGTGAAATAGAACAAAATTTTTTGGAAAAAAGCTCTAAATTTAAGAATGGAATAAAATTTAAAATGTAAAATGGGTCAAAATCAGTAAACGTTAATGAGTAGTAAAAAACCATTTTTTACATTAGTGATTTGGAAAAAACCGAAAGTTTAAAACAACTTGCATGTACGATAAATTTATTGAAACACTGAAGAGTTTTCAAGAAAAATCAGTGATATAAAAAAAGTAAGACAAAGAAAAATAAATAAGGTCAACTTGAAATGAACATTCTATATACCTTACTATGCTGCATCAAGAAAGTATATGCAGCGGAAAGAAAAACCGTAGATTGTTCGATTCCAATTTTGCTAAGCGATTCAGCAACATCTTCCCGTCCTCCTTCTACGCTACTTAATGACACCGCACAATCAAACATCGCTATTACCAAATCTGTAAAGGTACAATGAATTAAAATCGTTATAATCATTTATAAATTTATGATGAAAATTAATAAATAAAACTACAATTACATAAACGAATATATGATCAAATAAATAATAAGAAAGAATAAATAATAAACAACAAGTTTAGTACAAGTCATAAGTAATAGATACTCGTAAATTCGCTGACATGTAAATAATAAATATATAGACGTTATGATAAATATATAGGCATGTTTTCTTTTAAGCAAAGTTACGATAAATATATAGACGAAAGAGATGGATTATAGATTTAACGTCAAGAAATAAGCAAGTAAACGAATAAATAAAGTAAATAAATAAATAACTGTAAAATAAATAAGTAAATAAATAACTGATTGGAAATAAAAAAGTAAATAAATAACTAAAATTGGAAATAAAATAAACAGTCAGTAAAAATAAAGAATAATAAAACTAGAAATTAAATAAAACGAAGAACAATGGATTGAATGGCTAAAAAATTTGGAATGGATAAATAAGGAAATGAATAAATATGCAGAAGAATCAATATTTTTTCTCTCACAAATTTATTCATTTACTTTCGAAAGAATGACAAATACATTAATAAATTTTGTTAATATAGTCACAAAGTATTAAAATTACCTTCCAATGTTTGAACCATTTTATCTTCCTCCAATTATTCCCTTTTATACAAAAATATCTGAAACAGCGAAGAAAAATGATTTCTTGTTTCTTTTTTCCTAAATCTTTAAAGCATTTCGAAAACGACAAATTTGTTAAATCAAAGTATAAAAAGGAAACTTTTTTTACTTTTTTTTTCTCCAATTGACATATTAAGTGAGCTAACTTCTTTAGAAATGAAATTTTCTTTTTTATTTTTTAAATCCTATCTTCAATGTGCAATATCTAGATAGGGCATTTGTAATATCAGAAAAAACGTCGAATATTGGCCAATTTTCATTACGATTTTGATGAGCTGCAAATGAAATAACTTATTTTGGAGCTAATATTTCTCTACCGCATTGTGGTGTAGAGGAATCAAGAATAAATATACTTTGTCATGAAAAATTCGATCGATGAAATAGATTTCTTAAAATTCATTCCAATGTATCAATATTTGGAATATATGTAACCGTACCATATAAATTATAATTTTTTGCTACTCATTGGTACCAAATTACTATGTGTGTTATACTAAATACTTCTATTCATAGTAAATTATAAGTAAATTATCCGTATTCATTATATTACAGTAAATTATCTTCATTATATTATAGTAAATTATTATATTACAGTAAATTATATAGTACTCATGATAATAAATTATTGTCTTTTGATAAATTAAATCATGAAAATTTGATTTTTTTTTTTTACTTCATTTATCTCTTCAAATCATATTATAATATAATTTTCTTTCTCAAACTATAACTTTTCTTCATCTCCTATACTTCCAATCCCTCTCAATCTCTACCGCAACAGCAAATCATCACTATTTCATCATTATCTCAATTTCTTCCACATTTGCACATGCATATCCCTTCTTCTTTCTTCTCTAAGCACAACTATCAATCACTCCCAATCTCTACACGCGATAAGCGTATCTTCAATAATCCTATATCACTCTCTTGTCTTATTTTAGACGTTTAACCATTACTCCCCACCTCACCCGACAACTTCAACTTCCTGTCAGCATCTCGATAAAACCATTATCGCTATTGGACTTTGATCAGAAAGTTATACAGTGAACGAGCGAGCAATTTATGAAAACATTAATCTTAGTGGGAGTATTTTTGAACAAAATATTTATCAAACCTTTTTTTTTCCCTTCATCTGATCCCAAATGCGGTCATGCATGTCTTTTCCAAATAAAATCAATATCGCTACTGGAAAATTATAAGGTGACGAAAAGCTGTTATTTATAATTTTTTTTTTTTTTTTAGAAAAGGATATATGTATGAACTCACGTAGAGATGTACGTGCACACTCCTCTTCTCCTCAATAGCAATTTGAGGAAGAAAGGAGTGTACACACGTACGCATGAGTGGTTTCATTTAAAAAGCTTCAATAACTTTGAACGAATATATGATTCAATTCATATGATTCATGCTTATTGTAAAATTATAGGATAAAATTTAGATTTTTTTTAATGCAACAAATTTTGAAAAGAAAAAAATCACGTACGTTTTAAATTACCTTGTAAATTTCTTTTTCCATCGCATACATTTTCATAAAAATATATGATAAATTCAAAAAATGATAAAATCACTGATGAATTTCCTTTTTTTTTCTCTCTAAATTTTGTTTCTAAAGAAAAAGCACTATTACAAATCGTTTTCTATCAGCACTTTTCTGAAGCAAAATTCATAATTTCAATCGTAT